AAAAAAAAAAAAAAAAAAAAAACGGTCTTTTTCTGGTGAGCGGCAAGTTTGCCAAGGGCTGCTAGGATATTCAGGAATTGGAATACGAGGTCTTTAAAAAATAATCTTTTTTTAAAAAATAGAGGTAGGATGTCACTGTGTTGCCCTGGTGGGTCTTGAACACCTGGCCTCAAGCAATCCTCCCACCTCAGCTTCCCAAAGTGCTGGGATTACAGGCATGAGCCACCACCTACAGCCTGAATGTGAGGTCTTACCTCTGAGAGACAGAGAAAGAGAGAGAGAGAGAGAGAGACCGACCTGCACTCACTCATCCAGCATCCTGCCCCTACCACGAAATAGCACCTCCCTAGTCTCTCACCTCAGTGTCCAGGTTCAGCCTCTCGAAGTCTCCATTGAGAATAAAGCGCTGCACATAGCCGTCCAGGGTGAAATTTACGTCGCGGCCAAATCGGTCCACCCGCACGTAGTGCCAGTGCTGGTCATTGAGGACTCCGCCAGCGCTCACGGTGGTGTGACCTGGTCTTGGCTGGATGGGACTGCTGCCTGAGGGTGGGGCAGGACAGAGTAAGACCTCAAGCCAGGAGAACTCCATGGAGTCCAAGCTCCTAGGCAGAGCAGCAGCCTGTAACAAAGCCCAGGGCAAGCAGGGAGAGTGGGCTAATAGATCAACAGTCATTGGTGAGTGTGTGACAGGGTAAGCCATTTAGCCTGGCTTCCTGTCTGTGAAAGTGGGAACACATGAGCTGCTTCTATTTCATCGCGCGGGTGTTATGAAAAGCTAATGAGATACAGTGTGTGTGTGTGTGTGTGTGTGTGTACAAGGAAGGAACTGAGGCTCGGAAGTGCCCCATCCGAGGTCACATCTCTGGGTAGTGGTAGAGCTGAGACTGGAATCCAGTTCTCACTCCGACTCCAGTGTTTTGCTAGCACCAAATACTACAAGAAAGGCGTAGTTTGGTCCAGGCCTTAGAGAAGTGGAAGACCAGGCGTGAGCGCGGCTGCGCGGAGGAGGTGCTGCGAGGAGGGCGGTGAGAGAACTTCAGGGGTTGACCCCTCATCGCACCCGGCCGCCGAGCTCACCCAGGCTCATGTGCAGCAGCAGGTGTGCCCCCTCCAGCTCGATCGTCACGTAGTCGCCCTGGGCGCCCTCGGCGTGCAGCAGAAGCCCGTCCTTCTCCTCGGTTTTGAAGCTGAAGGCGAACACGTCCCACAGGCTTCGGCTGACCCCTCGTGGGAAGCGGTATGAGATGGCATCGTCACCGTCGAAATAGAGTATGTCGGACTCTGCGCAAAGGAGCAAAGGACCGTAGGTGGGCCGGGGACTGGGGAGGCTGTCTGTCTCCCGGGCCCCCTCCGCGCTCTCTGCATGCTTACTGTATGGGCAGCCGTAGAGGCCGAGCCTCAAGCCGATCTTGCCGCGTGGGTTCCAGGCCAGGGGCACGATGCGGATGTAGCGCGCGGTGAAGTGGTAGTGCAGGTCATGGCGCACCACTGCAGACTCGTTCACGTTACCAAAGAAGGTCTGAGGAGGTGGGAGAGAGTAGTAACCACGTTCCACTCTCTGCTTCTTTTTTTATTTTATTTTTTGAGACAGAGTCTCC